ATATTAGAGGGCTTGGCTCTTTTGAGCATATGGGCCTTTGCCCTCCACATAACATTCCAGCCCATTATTTTAGGCTTTTTTATTTTTATTTTTATTTTTATTTTATTTTTTATTACCCTCTGATGGGGGTTTATATAGATGTCTCCGAAAGATAAGAAAAATAAATCACATCATTCAAAAATAAATCCGACCATCTGCTCAATGGGTCACACCTATAATGCCATCATCACCGCTATTATGTCTGCTTTTTTTTTATCTTCTTTTGCTTTTGTTTTTCAGCTTTGCTTTTGCTTTCTTTCTGTTTCTTGACCCTGATGAATATGGTAGACAAGGAATGATAATAGATTTAATAATAAGAAAAGAATCTTACTCCGCTTTTGCTTTGCTTTTCTTGATCTCTCCGCTCCTTCTCTGTCCACCCATGTTGCTTTCCTGTGATGCTCATCTTCTCTGTCCACCCATGTTGCTTTGCAAGGGCGAGAAAAACTTACACCATAAAAAGAGATAGCTTCCTCACTGAGTAGATTATAACCAAACTTCTTAGCTAAGTCACCAATACATAAATAAGTATTCTCCATATGGGTTTGATCCCCAATATTAGACCACTTTCTTGACCTGAGGGCAGGAACAAAGTTGAACATGCATTGCTTTCTGTCTGCAACCACTGTATCCTCACCTATGCTTTCAAGTTGAAACGAATTGAGCATGTTTTTCTGGGTACTTGAGCTCACCACAACATGTTTTTCGACCCTTTGATTGCCATAAAGTCCTATTCTTTCTCCTTATTGGTCAAAGCAATCATGAACTTTGGTGGCCACACCATCTCTGGCCCCGCCGCCGCCTCTCCACTCCATAACGAAGACCCGCCCTTCTTGTTATTGTGCGTCGTGTTTGAAGACGCCGCAGACTTGTTATTGTGATGAATAATCTCATCATTAGGGTGGTGGTGGTGGTGGTTTTTCTTATCGTGCGCACCCCTGTCGGGCGAGGCAATTCCCTTCAGCCCTCCTCCTCTGCCGTTGCTCTGACCTCTCATGGCAGCAGCGTTCGTAGTCTTTAAGTTTATTTGGGTTGGAGGGCTGGACTCTGTGCATGGATAATTGCTACTGCAATTGCGAAAGACTGCGGAGTTGACAGAGATGGTTGGAAATGAAAAAAATACAAACCATCGTGGACATTCAACATCCTCCATGCAGGAGGACCATGCTCTGAACCCATCAGCTAACATGGTGTGGCTTCAAAGAGATCATAGATACCAATAGCATAGCATCACACGGAAATAGTAAATACCAAGTTTCATTTCCCATCATGTAATTCATAAAAGCATTTCATTCTTCTTTTTCTAGATTTCACCGCATTTACAGACACTGTTGTAGTCTTGCTCGAGATTGGTGAGACGTGGAACTCTCCTCTTCATCTAGGTCGAGGGACTGCAGAACACGTCCTCCGCTGTTAACAACCATCACTTTGCAGGAGAATGTTGTCGTGGGGCGAGATAGGTGAGAAGTTTGCAAACATACCAGTTTGCTTTTAACTGGCCAGCCATGGCTAAGAGAAATAGAGAATAAGAAGTGGGATGCTCTTGAATACCGTGTTAGAAGCAGCAGGTCGAAGTGAGTGCTCAAAAGCAGCTAAAGAAGCAGACATTTTGAGCGATTAATATCGAAATCATGGAGAGCAGCAACCAGCATTTCAATCATCCCAGCCGTCCATTGAGCGAACTCGGGCGAGACGGCGTAGATCGATGAGCGAGCTGAGCTGAGATATCAACACGATCTGAAACCAAAAGCCATTTCTCTCTCTCTAGTGCTGGCAATGACGAGGACAAATCAGAATATTGGTGTGGTGTTTGGTTCTTAGGTTTCAACAGATTCACGGCGGAGGTGAAAAAATGAAAGAGGACCGACATAACTTTTCGTATCGTTTCCCACAGATGGCCCCAAATGTTGATGCACAAAACCGGAGGGGTCTTGGAACAACGTAAATCCGACCGTGAATATGCAAGAAAGTAAAGAACACAAGATGTATCGTGGTTCACCCCAATGTTTGGGCTACGTCCACACTGATATTGTATTTCTCTGAGATGATTGTGAAGGAGAGAGTCTCTGTAATGTGAGAGTGAGGCTTTGAGAGGGTGAGAGCTTCTTAGGGTGATAGAGCTCTTCCCATGGCCTAAGAATTGGCCTCCCTTAATGAGGAGAGTGAGGGGTCCTTTTATAGAATAAGGGCTCCTCACTTATTACATATTTGCCTTTCATTTATTACATAATTACATCTGAGTCTCCTGAGTATTTATACGAGATCTAAATATGGAGGCCCTAAGTATGGTACAAACACTATTCATACTTCTTCTCATTGTTTTGATCTAAAAAATGTTTTACATATTCCTGATCTCAGACAAGATTTAATTTCTGCCAATAAGTTTATACTTGATACTTGGTGCTCCATTCATTTGTATCTTTTTCACTTCATTGTGAAATATCTTTCTTTGGAGAAGATGCTCTTTAAAGGCCCTGTGAAAGCAGGATTTTATCTATTTCATGTTTCTTTTGTTACTGGCAATCAACATGTTTTTGTAGCAATTGCTAAGCTTCTCAGGATGTATGGCATCAACGTTTGGGCCATCTTTCTTTTAAAATCTTAAATAAGCTAGCATCTAAGTTTGTATTTCAATTTCAAATAGATAATTAAGTCTGTTTGTTCTAGTTATGCCTTAGGCAAATGTTCTAAGCAGTCATTTTCTTTTGTTCCTTGTAATGCAAGAAAACCTCTGGAACTCCTTCATAACGATGTATGGGGACCATCACCACTTTCTCTCTATACATGGTTTCAGATATTATGTCATCGTTGTTGATGATTATACATAGTATTGTTGGTTCTTTCCTCTTAAGAACAAATATGAAGTGTTTACTACTTTTTTTTCACTTTAAATCTCTAGTTGAAAATTTGTTGAGTTCCAAAATTGTTGCAATAAGATTTGACTCTGGTGGAGAATTCTTAGATCTTAATTTCTCTAATTACTTCAAAGAACATAATGGTTATGTTGAATGCAATCATAGACATATGTTTGAAATTTTCATAGCTCTTCTATCTGCTTCTAAAGTCTCACACCTTTATTGGGTTGAAACCTGCTCTACAACTATCACATCAACAGAATGCCCACTAGCACCAAAACATCACCTTGAGATTTTTTATTTTTTATTTTTTTCACAAGTCTTCAGATTATACATCTCTCAAGGTTTTCTATTGTAGGTGATTTCCACGGTTGGAGTCCTATATTACTTATATTACTTCTAAGCTTGATCCCAAAAGTTAACAGTGTGTCTTCTTGGGTTATAGTTTAAATCACAAAGGATACAAGTGCATTGATAATCAAATTGAGAGGATCTACATCTCTAGACATATCATTTTTGATGAATTCACATTTCCTTTTCATCAAAAGGACTTCACTATTAGTTCCATTCCTCCATTACCCACTCAACCTCACTCCTCATCCATTTCATCAACATTAACATTTAAAACAGTCAATGCCATTAATTTAACTCCTCCAACATCTACATTACCTATCTCACATTTTCCAACCCCATCACTCTCTCCATCTTCTTCCCCTGTCACCACCGATGTTGTTCCTGTACCTACTCAATTCCATGCAACAAATACTCATCCTATGCAAACCAGATCAAACATTATATCCATTCTCAGTTATCTCAAGACCATACACCTTCTACTTATCATCAAGCTTCAAAGCATTCCCATTAGAGACAAGCTATGCAAGAGGAATTGAATGCACTTCTTCATATTAGAACTTGGTATCTGGTACCTTTAAGTCCCTCTTAGAACCTACTAGGCTGCAAATGGGTTTTTAGGATCAAAAGGAAACATGATGGCTCTATAGGCAGGTATAGAGCCAGACTTATTGCCAAAGGTTTCATCAACAATAAGGATTGGACTAAGCTGAAACTTTTAGCCCAGTTGCAAAACCTGTTACAATTAGACTTCTTCTCACTCTGGCAGCCAAGTTTGGGTGGTTTCTACATCAACTTAATGTGAGTAATGCATTTCTCCATGGAAATTTATTAGAATTTGTGTTTATAGTGCAACCTCCTAGTTTTGAGGACCCTTTTAAACCAAACTATGTCTTTCAATTACGGGAGCTGGGTATGGGAAACTATACACACCTCTGCATTCTCTTGGCTTCTTAGGATCATAGAATGATCACTCTCTATTTGTCAAGAAGGATCTTACATTGATTTTTATCTTAGTGTATGTGATGACATTCTTGTCACTAGTCTAATACCTCAAGCCCGCAAGGATACAATCTCTCAACTCAGTGATCTTTTTCCTGTTAAGGATCTGGGACCACTTTATTTCCTTAGAATTGAAATTAAGAGATCTTCTTCTGGCACTTTCATTTATCAGACTAAGTACATCTTGGACTTACTTAAGAAGGATAACATGGATGGTGCTAAGCCTTGTGTCATTTTTCTCAGTACATCAAAACTGGATCATGATTCTTCTCTTCTTCAAAATCCAAAGGAATATAAATCTTTAGTTGGTGGCTCGCAATACTTAACCTCGACCAGACCAAATTTAACATTTGCAGTGAATTTTGTGTGTTAGTTCATGCATACTTCCAAACAATCTCACTTTAAGCTGTCAAAAGAATTTTAAGATACCTTAAAGGTACTCTTCCTCATGGACTCTAGTTTCTGAAATGTTCTAAGCCTCTTATTATCAATGTCTTCTCAAATGCAGATTGGGTTGGCTTCAATATAGATAGAAGGTCCACTTTTGAGTTCTGTGTTTTTCTGGAAAATTATGTAATTAGTTGGAGTCCAAGAAATAACCAATTGTGGCCAGATCTTCCACTGAAACTGAATACAGATCACTTGCAAACACTGCAGCTGAACTCATTTGGATCTGTAACTTACTCATTGATGTTCACTTAGTTCTTACTTATCCTCTTAAGCTATGACGTGACAACATTTCTACCGTCTCCTTAGCCAAAAATCATATCCTCCATACCATAACGAAACATGTGGAAATTGATTACTACTACACTAGGGAGAAAGTACTAGCTAAGATAGTGGCTGTTCTTTTTGTATGCACACAGAATCAAATTGCAGATATCTGCAGCAAAGCATTGTCCAAGTCAAGACTCATTCTTCTCAAAGACGAACTTTCTCTTTAATTACCTCAGCTTATTTTGAGGGGGATAATAAGGGTGCGTTTGGTACGTGGGACGAGAAGGGACGGAACGGAACGAGGCGTTCCGTCCTGCGTTTGGTACGCCAAAAATGGGTGGAACGCGCTGTTCCACGGGACAAAAATTGGGTGTTTTTGCATCCGCCTCCCCCCTGGAACGGGTTGTTCCATGTATGTGGAACACAAAAATTCCACTGTCTACCCTCCCTCTCTCTCCCGCAGCCTCCCTCTCCCGTAGCTTCGTTACCCTCAATCTCCCCTGTAGCCTCCTCCTACACCACAAACCCAGCAACCCAAATGCTTCGTTACCCAAACGTAGCTTCGTTACCCAGCAACCCAGATGAATTCGAGCTCGATTTCGGGCTTTCCGAGCTGAGTCGGAGACGAATCCGTCGAAATACTGGCGAAATAGACCGAAACGTAGTCGATAAATTGGTTTTGAAAATAAATTGGGAATAAATTTAGTCCCCTCGCTCTCGGTATCACCCATTGAAGCAGGTTTTCGCACTCTGCAGCTAAACAATGGGTTTGGGCGGGACGACCTTGCAAACCGTGAAGCTCGCCCTAATTCCTCCACCTTCATTTTCTTCTTCTTTCCGCTCCGTTTTCCCAAACCTTTCTCTGCTGCCATAGCCGCATACAAAGACTTCCACTTCCTCCGCCCTTCTTCGTCAGAGGCCTTTCAACCCTGGCCGCACAGGTAACTGCCACCGCATCCCCAAAAGAAACAAGCCTAGATGAAAAGGGTTCGATCATTTCACAACCCTATTTGTAGTTTGAATAAATTGGAGCTTAATTTTTTATTTTTCTGGTTAATATATTGTGTTTTTCTTTGCGGGGAGATGCAGGTGTGAAGCAGCAATGGAAAGCAGCGACAGACTTCAAATGGATAAGGGACAACAAGGGTAAGTTAGTCATTTAATCCAGTTTCGTTCTGTTCCATCTTGTCAGTACCAAACATGACATGAATCTTTGTTTCGTCCCGTCCCGTTTGCGTACCAAATGCTACCTAAGGGCAGCTTTGTTATGCTTGGTTACATTAGTTTTGAGTCAGTTAGATGAGCTATAATTACAAGTGAGTAAATAACTTGTACACACACACACACATATGTAATTTTATTGTCATTAAGAACTGAAATCATAACTTTTTTATTACGGATCTTCTTTTTTTTTTTTTCATTTATCTCAAAAAATTGCTAATTTCTCTCCAGATATCCTCTTTCAATGGTTCTGATTGGCAAATTTTTGGACTGGGCAATTTTTGTTGAAGGGGGTTAGCACGGTTGTAGTGGAATTTGGATTTGATTTTCTGTTTGCAAAATTTGTTTTTATTTTTTACTCTTTACTTTTAAGATGGTGTGCTTTAATGGCGTATGTTATTATTTTTTATTTTTGGTTCTTTAATACTAGACCGTAGTAGCTACTTAGTATTATGGTCTGATGGTATTCATTTTCATTTGTAAGTGAGAGGTCTTAAATTCAAATCTCGTGGATGACGAATTCGATACCAAATTAGGTCGAACTCCCCCTCCTCTTAGTGTAAAAATATCAATGTACTTAAAAAAAATAAAAAAATAAAAAAACTAAACCGTAGTAGTAAAGAACTTTACTAAATAGTATTATTATTTTTTTTTATCAATACAGCTTGTAATTGTTACTTGAGTACCATGATTCCGATTTTGTCAATTACCCACCCGATGCCCATGCTTCACGTTCAGGGGTATATATTATGACCTTTTCGTATCGAATCTTACTTAATAAGTTGATAGAATGCAATAAAACACTTTTTATGAACAAAATTGGAGACTTACAATAGTGTTGTTAGATGTTAGGCCCTCCTTGAATGGGATGGCCAATCCATCGAAACACCCAAAACAACTAAACTAGATTATCCATATAACAAAAGCACTTATGAGCAAAAAGTGCTTTTGAACTTTTACTCTTTGAAGAACATTGCACTCTGTTCTGCTAACATAAACTTTAGTTGAAATGGACTTACTATGGCAAAACGCTAGTGTCTGAAAATAGGATCTAAAATAACACAACTAAGAAGACGGTACAAGGGGTGAATGCCCTAAATGGGCAGGGGTTGAAAATAGGCCTCGTTTAGTGTCAATGAATGGATTGGATCGGATTGGATTAAATAACTCACTAGATTTAATATACTTTGAAACAAGAAATGGATGCCAACTTCCAATTGTTATGTAGTTGAAAGTAGAAGATTTGATTACTTACGAAGAAAACTTATCCCTTCCAATCTAACAAAATTAGTTGGATTGAGACAGATTTGTTTCCTTCACGACTAATCCGTCTTCAAATTTCAACAAACAAATTTTGAAGTTGGTATCCATTTCTTCTTAACATTCATTGAATCTAGTGCGTCATCCACTCCACAATTTTCAACACCAAACGAGTCAATAGAGTAGAAGGCAACAGAGACCTGGTTATTGTCCAATTAGAAGGGCAACAGAGACCTGATCCAGGATAGTACATTGGTAGAATGCCAACGCACTACCCGAAAATGGAAAAGGGTCTACATTGTATGTAGCTGTTGTTATGTGGGACGCATGTGGCAGTACGATTGGATGTATTTGGTGTTGCAACTCCAGGAGATAAAAGAGTATATTGATCTAATCTTCAATGTCTAAGCACCACCCCGGTTGACTTAACTTGTTCAGAAGCCCCATCAAACCCTTATCAATACAGGAAAGTGGGAACTAGCTCTTACTCTAGCAAGTATGCACGCAAGTCGCCCCTCTCTTTCTGTTAGCAGAAGAATTTCTAGTAAAAAGTCTAGCCTAATGCTCAGTAGGATGTTCATCGACATAGGAATCAGCACAGTGCTCAAAACTGCAGTCCCAACAATCAGAAAACCTAAAATCCTGATTCTTTTAAAATCTCTCTTTAAAGCTTCTAGTTTCCTTTGATTGTCTCTGTAATCTAGTAGTGCTTCTCCTACTAAAACGGAGTTACAAGATTCGGTCTGCACCAACCTACTTCTATCATTTCCAAAAAAAATGTGAATACAGCATTGTAATCCAGAAAGAATATTACAATATGGGATTGTACAACCTACACAAGTACTTCAGCAGTTATTTTCAGGTAAAACATTACTATTCCCCAGCCATGCATTCGATGAACGATGCATAAAACTGAAAAGATCGCCTAGTACAAACTTTAGAGACTAGACCATCACAAAACGTACTAAAATACTCCACCCAAGAGTTATCAGTATTTATGAAAGCTGTTCCCATCTATTGGAACCCAAGAAATCAACAAATAGCATGGCATATAGAAACCCAAAATGAAAATCGATCCACAAATTGCGAATGTACTTCACCAAGAAACACCTAAATCATTATAGATAAAAAGAGATCCTTCTTACAACAGGGGCATGTTTCATGTATCTTCTGCTACGAGGAACATAAAATAAGACAAAAAACAGAAAGCTCAAAATGACATAAGCTTGGGACCATTATCAGGCATACCCATCCCAGCAGCTAAATCAGCGTCCAGCTGAGTGTGAGGTGCATCCCCCATCATTATCTTAACACGCTTCTTGTGACGCTTCGTCTTGAAATGATCGTCCCTCACCGATGCGTTGTTAAAGTATCGGCTGCAATTTCAAAAATGAAGTTGCTCACTTAAGCAAAATTAACAAACCCAACTAACACAAGCTAGTAACACCAATGAATCTCAAAGCTGGGTAATTTTCCATTTTTTTTTCTCAGCAACCAAGCAGACCCAGATAAATTTTTTCCATCAAAAATAAAAAACTAAAAGGAAATAAAAGCTTACTCGCAGTGTAGGCAGTAGTATTGACCCATCCCAGGAAGGTCCTGGTCCTGAGGCAATGGCTTCGCCCCGTCTTCTGCCTTCTTCAGACCATCGTACACCATATCGTCGCGTGATCAAATTCTCAGTCAAGGAACCAAATCAAAATTCCAAAAAATTGTAAAAAAAAAAAACGAGAAATTAATAATTGCGGTGAACAAAAAAGGATATCTTTGATTTCGAATTTGGCGCGGCGGTGAGTCTTGTGAGAGTATCTTCGTTTCTTGACGCTTCTGTGTGGGCACTTGCCTCCCATTTTTCTTGGATTTGAAGTTTCGGTTTCTCCAACTGCGGGTTAGGGTTTTCGTAAACCCTAGAAACGAAAAAGAGGGATGGATGGAGAGGGAAGGAATTTGGGGATTTATGTTGCTTCGGGGGTGCGGTGTCGTTTCGAAACTTTCTGGACGATATTGTTGTCGGTTGCCTTGTGTAGGCCTGTTAAAAGAGGGATGAAAGCCCATTGGTTAGGCCCAAATCATACAAATTCAGAAGCTAATGCTTTAATAACAAAAGTAAAAATACACCCTATAAAAAATGTAAAATATAAAATGACTATTTACTATTTAGGATCCATGAGATTTTAAATATATTCACATATGTATACATCAATCCACACCAAAATTCACTGTGATAAAATTCTCTTATATTCCCAAGGCTGAACTTAACACGTATAAGAATCTTATTAATCAAACCATTTGAGAACAAAATTACATTTGATTTCAATATGCTTGATTCTTTTTAGAACTGGTCGAGAAAATAATTATGCTATAAACTTATAAAGTAGGGTAATTGAGAAACAACAAAAAACTGTATTTTGCAACACGTAAGTTTGTAACTGAATGAATAATAGGCAATCTTATCTTCCTTGAAATGATGGTAATTTTCTCAGAAATTCTATTTTATACATTTGTACAAAGCAACTAAGAGATTACATTGAACTGAATTTAAAATATTATATATTTAGTTGAAGATTCAGGAAGAAAGAAATAAGTTAGTGGGACAACCATGCAATTTTTTTAATTTTTTAATTTTTAATTTTTTTTTATTTAACAAACATAGAGTTTGGTGTGGGATGAAAAGTGTAAGGTGTGAGAGTAGTATGGAAAATAAGTGGGGTGTTTTAAGATAAATTGTACTTTAAAAAGTAGATGTGAAGTGTATTAGGTAAGTACAATGTAGTTAACAATATGTGGGGTGTTAATAAAACAATCATTTTTGCAGTTGCATTTAAATCTCAAATAATAGCAATTGTCCAAACTTTTGGACGAAATCATCAAAATTTAAGGGTGTTATTATTGACACTCAAAAAATTGTCAATATGCTTTCCTCTGGAAAATTAAATGCACAAAATGACTTTTTATTTTTATTTTTACAAGAAGCGATAGTATTGTCATTAAGAAACGAGAATACAATTACAAATACATGGTAATACAATTAAAAGGGTTGAAAATTAAAGGTGGTTTTGGAGTTGTTCTATTTTTTGTTAAAGGTGGTTGTAAACACGAAAATTCTTACAACTAATGGCAGAATAATATGTGTACAATAATACCTGTATAAATGAATATTTAGGATTACAATCTATGTGGTTTATTTTTTTTATTTTAAGAAGTATTCCTCTAATCAATCTCCAAAGTAGAATTCGATTCAAGGGCGATGAACTCTTGATCTTGAATTGAGCTTGAAATTTTTTTAAGGGTTATCGAGGCTTGATCTTGAACGAAATAGGGACCACGAAGAGTTTCATGTGGTGGGTGGTATTTGGCTTTGGTCATGGATGAACCAGCACGTGTATTTTTTGTGCTTGTTGGTTCTCCATGGGTTAGATGAAGAACATAAGATTGTTTGGGTGTTTGCTTTGGCCGAAGAGATTTCTAGTTTTCTCCAAGGCTTGGACTTGCTTCCCTTCTCTCAAGTCCATTTCTTGAAAATGAGCCTAGAGTTTATACATAGCACAATTTGAACCTGATGATTTGTGGTATTCATTTTTTATTTGATTTAATTTGAGCTAATAATTAATTTAGATCTTAATCAAATCAGAATCATTGATTTAGGAAAGGGTTATTATACAAAATAGTCCATGAGATTTGCATGATCAATAGAAATGGTCCTTGAGATTGAAAATCAATAGAAATGGTTTCTGAGATTGTCCACTATCCATGATTTTGGTCATTCCGTTAAAAACTCTTTAGGCAATTTTCAAAGTTTGGTAACTCAATCGTTTCTTAACTAAATTCGATCCATAATATATCAAAATGAAGATAGGAAAGTGTACAATAAGATTATACCTATTTGGAAGCCCAATGATTGCCGGAGATGGCCGGAAAATAACCTGAAAGGTGCTGCTCCGCGGAAAAACTGGAAAACTCGCTGGAAACTGGGTAAACTTTAAGGGCCTGTTTGGTATTTAATTTGGATCCAATGTTTTTAACTCAAATACAAGTTTTGAGTCACAAATTTAAGTCTTTCTTTGGTATTTTATTTGAATATAATTCTCAAAACCACAACTCAAAAATATTTGAAAACAAAGCTTATT